AGTACAAACACTGCCCTTCTGTTCTCCCACAACTGATCACTCCAAGGAATGTATCTACCTGATGTAAATATTCACTCCATATGCCTGTCTATGGGAGCTCTGGTAGCGTAGTGCCCAAGGCACTTGACTGCTAACCAGAAGGCTGGCAGTTCAAATCCACCAGCCACTCCTTGGAAGGAAAGTCGGGCAATGTACTTCCACAGTGATACCAAGGAGGGGTTACTATGAGTCGGGTCCGACTCAATGGCACATAACAACAACAACAACATGCCTATTGTTTGGCTGGAAGCCACAGGAGTTGAGTTCAATTCCAGACCTGAAGGGTAACTAGGGGCCATAGCTTCAGGGGTTTCACCAGGCGCTATCAGAACAGCAAACCTGGTCATCTTTTTTTATTTTTCTTTTTTTATGATTTTGAGTTTTGTTCCACATTTTTCTCCCACTTTATCCAGGATCTCCTGCACCAATTCCCCTCCACGTGGTTGACAGTGGTAGCTAGACATCATCTAGTTCTTCTGGTTTCATGGTCATATAGGCTAAGGATCGCATGGTCTACATTGGACTAATTGTTTCCATGCATCTTTGGTTTTCTTCATTCTCCTTTGCTCTGTATAAGGAAAGACCCAGGGTACACCTATCTTTTATATTACTAGCTAATACAAAACTATTTCCCAAAGTAGTTGCACCAGTTTCTCTTCCACATACAATATTTGAGGGCACTTTGTCTACCTCTTCTCCAACACCTGGCACTGTCAGGTTTTTAAAATTTATGTCCACCTAAGAGCTCTGATGGGAGGTCTGGTGGCCTAGTGCCTAAGGCATTTGACTGCTAACTAGAAGGCTAGCAGTTCAAACCCACCAGCCACTTCTTGAAAGGAAGGTTGGGCAATCTACTTCTATAGTGATACCACCTGGGAAATCCAAGGAGGGGTCGCTATCAGTTGGGTCAGACTTGACAGCTGTGTTTGGGTTTTTTTTTTGGAAGAGCTCTGGTGGCGTGTAGTGCCTAAGGCATTTGACTGCTAACCAGAAGGCTAGTGGTTCAAACCCACCAGCCACTCCTCGGAAGGAAGATTGGGCAATCTATTTCAGCAGCTACATTGCCTCAGAAAACCAAGGTGGGGTTGCTGTGAGTTGGAACTAACTAGCGGGCACTGAGTTTGTTTTGTTTTAGTGAGTACAGGGTAGTATCCACTGTGGTTCAATTTGCCTTCTTCTGATTACTAATAATTAAGCATCTTTTCCATAAACAGCAAATGTTTTTTGGTCATTTGAATTTCTTCTTTTGTGAAAAGCTGTTCAAGTCATTTACAATTTGCAGTGAAGTCGAGCTGACCCCACATGTGCCAGAGTAGAACTATGCTCCATAGGGTTTACAATGACTGGTTTCTTGGTAACAGATCACCAGGGCTTGTTGTGAATTGCCTGTGGGTGGGCTCGAAGTAGTTAGCAGCCTAGCATGTTAATAGTTTGCACCACCCAGGAACTCAACTCATTTACTCATTCTTTACTTACATTCTTCTTTTGCCCGATTTGCAGACAGCAATATATCTAAGCAGTTTCATTAGCTTCAAGCATAGCCCATTCCGCGGCCTGTCTGTTTTTCACTTTCCATCTGTACAACATCGGTTAAGTGAAGGTTCGCCCGACAGCAGCCTCCCCAAGAGCTTTCTAGGTCCACCGGGGTTCTGTCCCTGACGCCATTATTACAACCGTTTCCACCCTCTGTGCCAGGGCTGGGGCGCCATTCAGAACGCGGCGACCTCAACCCTCGCCCACCACCCTTCGCGCCGCCTGGCCCCGCGCTAACCCTGCCCGCCCGGCCTGGCCCGAGTCGCGCCGGGCCCGCTGTGTTGCCCGCGGTCGCCAGGGCAGCGCCGGCAACGCGGGAGTCAGGGCGGCTGCGCGGGAGGATGCGGTGCAGCGGCGGTGACGGCCGCCGAGGAGCGCCGGGCAGGTGATGGGCAGGTGCCCCGGGAGGGAGACTGCAAAGGCTGGGAATGTGAGTAGATCGGTAGGACACCAGCGGAAACTGGGTCAGGCTGGGAGGACTTGAAGGAGCCTGCGCCGGAGAGCATTTGGGACGAGGGCGGGGGGGCAGACGGTGGCCGATGCAGGGACGAAAGGGTCAGAGTCTGGTGGCCGGGATAAGGAAAACCTTTTGAGTTCAGACCAGTAGCGCTGCCCTGTTTCTCGGTTAATGAAGACCAGTCCGGGACACCAGATCCACCAGGCCCGTCGTCACTTCCTGGACCTTAAAAAACTCCCTTTGCTGCCAGGTCTTGTCCCTCAGGAAAAAGGCAAAGGGAGAAAACAACGGAATGCCCCTTATGGGCAGCTTCCAAAACCGAGCAACTTTTTCTCTTATTCATCTTGTCGGTAAACAAGCAGAATTCCTTTTCACCTGCAGAAGGGAATTCGTTTCCCCTAGGACTGGTGGACAAGACCGACCCAAGACCACAAAGGAATCGCTAATGAGCTGGTCAGGATATGTATCCTTGTCTGTCATTTTAATTTACGTAGAAATTTGACAGCCTTTGGTGGTCAACATTTCAGTGGCACTACAATTTCCCACCATTAGTTAAACCTACAATGCCCATTTTCTAGACTGAATTATTTCATGAAAGAGCAATTCTAAAGTGAAGTATGGTGATTATTTTAACTTGCTTTTTAAGAGTACAAATCCAGTGCCCTTAACTCTTATGTAAAACAGGTGTTTGTACAAACCTAAAAGTTAAAATGTGTTAGTACTTGGATTTGTTGCTTTTCAGAAACACCCTAAAAAGCAAGTTAATCAGCTTATCAGTATTAAAATAATGTAATATGTATTTTTAAATGAGAGACAATACAGCAACTGGTCTGTAAAATTGGACAATAATATGTCAGTCTACCAACAGGGTGAACTTTGAATTGAAGAGAAAAAACACTTCATATGTATTTAAATATGAATGTTGCCTTTTGTCTGTTATGTTTGTTAAGGTGCTTTCCTCCAAGGAGCTGATGATTTTCCTTGGAAGCTTAGCAACAAGGTCAACATAAAACTTCCTAAGCAAGCCTAGGAGTAGGAATAAGGTATGTTATTTAATTAAAGTTAGGATTTGTCAAAAGAGCAACAGTAAGCCATTAAAACATTTTACAGTAATCTCTAATGGTAAAGCTTTCAGTTATATGACCTATAGAAGAAAAAAAAAAAAAAAAATGGCATAAAGACAGTGAAATAGAAGACAGACCAAAATAGAAATGCTAGGTAGAGATGAAAGGAAGCACAATCCAAAAACATTATCCCTTTCAATCCTATATGAACTCAAAGCACCCTTTCCATAAACTGTCTCATCAGTCTACAACAGCTTTTTGAGACAGTGAGAGCTTACTTGGAATCCTACTGTTAGGCTAGTTGCAAGGGCTGGTAGCTGTAATTCAGTCCACTTCTTCCCACCCACCTTTCCTTAGGGCAGAATCTCTTTCACTAGGTGGACATCCAGCCTGCTTTAAATTGCTCAGTTGCAGAATTTACAATGCTACTGTCTATTTGTTGAATAGTTTTTATAACTATTATATTCCTTTTTATACTGAGCTAAAGGTGATCTCTGGGGACAGTAATAGTTCAGTGGTAGAATTCTTGCCTTCTATGCAGGAGAAACAAACCAAAAACCAAACTCAACTGCCATCAAGTTGGATCCAACTCATAGACACCCCTCCTTGGGATTCTGAGGCAGTATCACTAAAGAAGTAGATTAACCTATCTTCCTTCTGAGAAGTGGCTGGTGGGTTTGAACCGCCAGCCTTCTGGTTAGCAGTCAGATGCCTTAGGCACTACACCCAGGTTCAATTCCTGGCCAGGGCACTTGAAATGCAGCTATCACCTGTCTGTTGGTGGAGGTTTGCATGTTGCTATGATGCTGAACAGGTTTCAGTGGGAGTTTCTAGACTAAGACAGACTAGGAAGAAAGGCCTAGCAATCTTCCAATAATTGGAAAACTCAGCCAAGGAAAATCCTATGGATCACAACTATCTGATCCCATTGTACAAGGGGTCACCATAAGTGTGGGTTGTCATGAGTTGGGGACTGACTTGATGGCAACTAACAATAACAAGATTGATCTCCATGTAATATCTACCTCAAGAATATTTTCCTATCCAGAAGCAAGCAACCTGGTTACAAAAAGCCTTTTCCCCATAGCCAGACAAAGTAGGTCTTAGGGGAAAAAATTAGCTTCCCAGTTCACTTTTCCAGCTGTAGAAGCCACATTCTTCTCTCTCAAAAAAAGACAGACCCTGAATCTGTTTTACTCTATTGATGAGTACTACTGTACCTGGAATAATTATATTGTTTCCCTGGGTAAGTGAAATGAAGCCACTGAGATACTGTCCATAATTAATCATTTGGCTTCATCCAGTTTTGTCTATAGCAAGACCTTAGAAGCTGGAAATAGGAATCTGCTTCGAAGCAGCCATTTGATTCCCTCAGTAAAACTGCGTTTGATTTTCTCTAGTTGTTCATGTGCTCTCCATCAGGAGGTGTTTCCATAGGAAAAACTCATTTTTCAAATGGGGTTTCCTCAGATATACAAAAGGCTACATACAAAAGCCTGCAGATAATATAACAAGGTTCCTTTACTCATTACATTTTTGATTAACATTAGCATTAAGAGATTTCATTAGTGTCTCTCTCTCTCTCTCTCTCTCACACACACACACACGTGCACACACACAGTTGCCCTAGAGTTGTTTCTGACGTGTGGCAACCACATGTGTGCAGAGTAAAACTGCTCCGTAGGGTTTTCAAGGCTGTAGACTTTTGGAAGTAGATCACCAGGCCTGTCTTCTGAGGCACCTCTGGGAGGGTTCAAAACCCCACCCAGGGACTTCTTGTTAGTTGTAGAGTTACATAAATATGTATATTTTTTTGTAGGTAATGTTTTGTGAGCCACGACTTTAAATATTCAGTGAACTCCTCCCATTAACAAGAGGATCCTCTGTTTATTTTTTAACTTTTCAACATGAGTTATAGTAAAGTAACTCCTAAGCTCTCTATTCAGTCTCCTGTCCATCACTCTAAATTAAGTGTGCAGTCAACAGTCAGGTCTGTTATGAAAGAAGGTTTACATCTGATTTCAAAAGACTCCTTGGAAACTGATTCAGAAAGTGCCTCTCAAGAGATCAAGTCCCAGTCTGAACTTGAGGACCGAATCCAGGACAACGACATGGAGCCTGACAGCTTAGAGGAGGAAAGCCCTCAAGAGGAAAGCCTGAGTGAGACAGAAGAGGAGGTGAGCAGAAAAGTAGCTCAGATGGCCAACAAGGAAAACCACCAGACCCAGGCCAGTGGCTTAAGTAACAGGTAAGGAATTGCCTTGGTTAAGGAAATAATGACTTCTAAAATGGATTGTTAAATAATTACTGATAACATTCTAAATGAAAGCAAGAACAAGCTGGATAATGAGAACCTGGTAATGGGTATGAAACAGTCCTTGAAGCAGCCAAGAACAGCTTGGTGCCATACTTTTAGCCAGTTTCTTTTTTTTTTAAATGGAAAAAAAAAAATGTAACAGATGAATATATAAATAAAATGTGCCTAAGGCATTTGACTGGGAGCTCTGGTAGTGTAGTGCCTAAAGCACTTGACTGCTAACCAGAAGGCTGGCGGTTCACACCCACCAGCCACCAGAAAGAAGATGGAGCAATCTACTTCCATAGTGATACTGCCTTGGAAACCCAAAGAGGGGTCGCTATGAGTCGGGTCCGACTTGACAGCACATAACAACAACAAGGCATTTGACTGCTAACCAGAAGGCTAATGGTTCAAACCCACAGCCACTCCTCAGAAGAAAGGTTGGGCAATTTACTTCCGTAGTGATACCGCCTCAGAAACCCAAGGAGGGATCGCTATGAGTCAGATGCAACTCTACCTCAGTGGGTTTGGTTTTTTTGTTTATATACAATGGGATATTATTCAGCCATAAAGAGAAATTAAGTCCTGATACATGGATGAACCTGAAATGGATGAGTGAATCATCCTGTCACAAAAAGGCAAATATTGTATGATCCTGTTATATCCAGTATCTGTTGTGTGCTGTTGAGTTGACTCTGACTCATAGCAACCGTACAGGACAGAGCAGAACTGTCCTATAGGCTTTCTCAGGCTGTCTTTACTGGAGCAGATGACCAGGTTTTTTCTCCTGCAGAGTGGTTGGTGAATTTGAGCCACTGACCTTTCAGTTAGCAGCTGAGCATTTAACCATTGTACCACCAGGGCTCCTATATAAAGAATCTAGACTTGGCAAGTACACAGAGACCAAAGTTTATTGGTGGTTACCAGGGAAAGAGGGAAAATAAGAGTCATTCCTTAGGGACCACCGAATGAGTTCCTGTTAAGGGTGATGGAAAAATTGAGAAATGGGTGGAGGTGATGGTTACAAAACATGATGAAAGTAATTTATTCATTTAGTTGTACATGTGAAAAATGCTGAAACAACAAATGTTTTGTTTTGTGTATATATATATATGTATATATATATATATATGTATGTACACATATATATTTAATCACAATAAAAAAGTAGAATATAAATAAATTAACATGCAGAGGACAAGGATAGGTATTATTAAAGGGCTTTTGCATCTTCTGTGTCCCTTGTTTCCTGTCCATATTCCAAGGGACTCCATTGCTATGACCTCATCTTGGGGAAATCCCAGAAAGCCTGGTATAGAAAAGCATATTAGGAGCCCTAGGGCTGCAGTGGTTAAATACGCAGCTGCTAACTGAAAAGTCAGCAGTTCAAATTCACCAGCTGCTCCGTGGGAGAAAAGACCTGGCCTAGGAAGACCTAAGACCTATCAGACAGTTGTACTCTGACCTATAGGGTCACTATGAATTGGAATCAACTTGATGACACAAAACAACAACCTTGAAGTGTTTCAGAGAAAGTCTACTATGATACCACAATGAATGAAAAGCATATGACTTGGAGTCAGGTGGTCTTGGTTTGGTCCAGGTACTAGACCAAGTACTACGGTTTAGTGTGTTATTTGAAGTAAGTTATCTAATTCTTCTGAGGCTCAATTTTTCTCATCTGGCAAATGACCCAGCCCTGCCTATTACATAGGATTGCTATGAATGTCAGTAAAGTGGGGACCAAAAGTTGGAGGTAGAATTCTACCAAGCCCATTCCTTCAGGACTAGGAGAAGTCTACCTTCTGGGGCTTGTGTGATCATATAAAGATTAATCAATATTTGAATATTGATTAATTAATAAACTAATAAAAACCATTTGCTGTTAAGTTGAATGCACTCATGGTGAGCCCATGTGTATCAAATTAAAACTGAGCTAAATAGAGTTTTCCGTGGCTGATTTTTCACAAGTAGACTGCCAGACCTTTCTTCTGAGGTGTCTCTGGGTAGGCTTGAACCTCCAACCTTTTGGTTAGCAGACGAAGGCATTAATCATTTACACTACCTAGGGACTCTAACTTATTAATACAGATCACATAATCAATTATTTATAGAGTGCTAACTTTATTCTATAAGCTACATGAAAAATATAAGAGAATGTGAAATAATATAATATTACTCAGCATTAATGAAATGCTAAATGATATGACAGATTATAAAACAAAAATAAAAGAAAATACAAAGCCAATGCCATTAAGTTGTTTATAATTCATGGTGACTTAGTGTATTACAGAGTAGAACTGCTCAGAGGCTTATCTGAGGTATGGCAGGTACAGCACATGCCCCAGGAACCACTTGACCACTTGAAGGGGGTGTCACTGAACAGTTTCTGTTAACCCTGGTAGTTTCCATTGGTAGCCATGAGAGATCATTCATTAAGTTAAAACTAATACTTTCGTATTTGAGAGTCTCCATGGGTCAAGGCAGACTATGTGATCTTGCTCTGCTGAGTATAGAAAGAGAAGAAACTAAAAAAAAAGAGTCTGACCACATTGTTGTTGTTGTTGTTGTTGTTAAGTGCCGTCGAGTTGTTTCCGACTCATAGCGACCCCATGCACAGCAGAACGAAACACTGCCCGATCCCGCACCAGCCCCACAATCCCTGCTA